CTTCGTATGTTGCGAACGGTCCCGGAACAGAAGCGCTTCTTTTCCTCTGCTTCTCTCTCTTCCGTTCTTTCCCTACCTTCCGTCTACTCGTGTCACTTTCTCACTCAATACGAAAAGAGCAGGAAGATCAAAGGATGCCGGCGTCATCGCTGCTAATGATATGCGACCCGTTGCTGCCGGGTAACTTGGAAACTTGAGAACGCAAGATTCGGGACTTCCTCAGAACGAATTGCCGCGGAAAGTTTCTTCAACAGTATCTTCTCGAGATACGAGTTGAAGTATTATATTAAATGAAGATGGAAAATGCCGACGATTTAAGAGCAATAGATGCTCTGCGAATCTTAATTTTTTATTGATATATTAAAAAATAAACTCATTAATAAACTTTATATTCTTTAATAAAATTTATAAAAATTCGTCGGCTTTTTTAATGAATTATTTACTTTAATTTAATATTTTTATACTCGTTTCTTTGGACATCTTAATTATTGTTTCTTTCTTTATGATTGAACCACCCACGCCTTTAATTTCAAATGGGAGATGACAGACGTAAGACCTTTGCGGTGGCGATACAAGTCCTCGCATACCTTTAGTTGATATAATTTAGCATTAGTTTCCTGCGTTATGCACCCTCGTTATGGAAGGGTACGGCAGAGTATCCTTCCGTTTCAATCGCTTAGGTTCGTGCGAATTACCGCCTCCAGGCCTTTATGGCACATCAAAGAGAGAGGGGACTGTGAAGGCGCGCCCTATTCGCTTGCGCGACCGTCTTAACATATTCGAATTCCAAGGTATCTCTTCTTTTCGTCTTCTCCCCCCCTTTCGCCTTCACTCTTGTTCGCCACCTTTACCCTCTGCACCGTGGAAAAGCGACTCGTTGCTCCTCAAGCAGGCATATGGAAGGTGTTTGACGTGCTAGCAATTCGAGGAGAGAATGCGGGGCGATTGATCCCTAAAAGCCCTGAGGATAAACTTGCGCGTTTTTTTTCGCTCGGGAAGAAATATCTCTGGAGAGGGCCCGTGTGCATGTGCGCACGAATAAAGCGTTTACTCAACCAGGAGGTGCGCTATATTGACGTAAAATTTTTTTCAACCCTCCATATGCCAATTATTTACTTACCTTCCAATAACATCTTAATTTACTGAAGAATTAGTTTTAATATATGCCATCAGCGCAGATAGATGCAATGTAAAAATATCAATGTAATAAATAAAACAAAATATAATCTATCTCTTAAAAAGTCTGTTTTCTAGTTGAACTAGTATATTTTCGGAACTTAAATGAGATACATTCTGAAAAAATAGCGACGTGAATTTAACACCACGCAATTTTTATATAATTCTCACTGTGTTAGTATTAAATTAACACCAACATAATGTGGATTTAACACTCATGATGTTGACATGAATACCATGATATTGGTATAAATATTAAGCGTTTTAAATTTACAAAAATGTTGATGTTAATTTAACATCAATATGGTGAGAATTAAAGACACCAAACGATATTAAATTCACCGACATTTTTTGGAATAGGTTTGGAATATGTTTAATTTTTTGTGAAAGAAATTTCTAATGCAGTCTAATATTGCATGGAATATAAAAAATTGATCTAAAGTTTTACCTTAGATAAAAAAATCTTACATGGTGAGAATTATAGACACCACACGACATTTTTTGTGAAAGAGATTTCTAATGCAGTCTAATATTGCATGGAATATAAAAAATTGACCTAAAGTTTTATCTTAGATAAAAAAATCTTAATAATAAAAAACTCTGATAGAAACAAGTGCTGAAAGTACTTTTGATATATTTTCCTACACAACAATAGCTTCGTTCGACTACGCATTCAATTAATTATGTGAATCCCTTCGCTTCTTGTTTCAGGTGGCGATTAAGATAATAGACGTCGAGCAAGGCAAGAAGGATTACGTGATGAAGAACCTGACGAGGGAGGCGAAGGTCTTGTCAATGCTGCAGCATCCGAGCATCGTCAGGCTCTACGAAACTATCCGGGTGAGTGAGAGACGCTTTAGAGTTGCAATCAGTTTAGAAAATTTCGACGATTGATCGAGTTTCTTTACTTTAATTAAGCGCGTCGAAAGTTTAATCGAGTTCTTAATAACAAAGACGATTCACCACGGTCGATCAACAAGATTTAACCGTGTTCATTGTGCTCTTACATAACGATCTATTATCCGTCAAAAGAAAACTATGCCATTCCGTCTCGTGTTATCCCTCTCCTAGTGACAGATACTATCCCTCGTAGATTCTACTACACTATTCTACTTTGGGTCACGCCATTCTCACCCGGTACATGACGTTTGTCAGAACGCCATGACAAATCGCGAACGTCTTGAAATTTCGGCAATGTCAGGGATCGAAATTTAACGTCACCCAAGAGAAAGAGAGAGAGAGAGAGAGAGAGAGAGAGAGAGAGAGAGAGAGAGAGAGAGAGAAAGAGAATGATCCATCTTTCCAGATTTAATTAAACACACCATTTAGCTGAATTTATGAAGCAGGCTGGATGCGTATCAAAGTAGAAAAACTTTTAATCATTTTGCTTTGCAAGAAACTTGGGATTCGAAATATGATTTTTTTTTGTGATTTCAATTTTGAAGTCTATCAGTTTTTAAAATCGACCGAGAGAATAATATTCAATATGAATAAGCGAAGAGGACCATTCGGCAGATCTTGGAGTCCAATAATATTTTTTGTATAAATTTTACAAATTGTAAATTTTACACATTTATACAAAAATATTATTAGACTCCAAAATCTGTCGAATGGTTCTCTTCGTTTATTTGTGTTGAACATTACTCAATCGATTTTCACTGAATATTATCTATCAGTTTTTTGTCAGTAATGTAGACAAATGGAAATCAACTATAGATAGAATCTGATAGATCTCAAATCTCATACTATAGACACATTACAATCCATGTTTGCTCTTCACGAAATAAATGCTTATCTTCGTCTATAAGCGTCAGAAATTGATTTCGCCAAAATTAAATCGGTTTCGATTTGCGAGTGTAAACTTGGAAATTATTATTTTGAGTTACGATCCTTTCTACGCCGATACAGAGGAAGCCCAGGACCGGTACCATTAATGCGTTGCATCGTACGTGACCTGGCTGCTACGGATGCGAACGTTGACCCAACACGCGGACTCACAGGACGCACGTGCACGCGTATACGTACGCACGCATACGTACGCACGCCACCCGGAGGTATACGGGCGGGGACACGGGCGAGAGGAAAAAAAAGCCCGGGGAGAGGACTCTCGTATGCTTGTACGATGTAATTGAATTCATGTGTGGGACGTCGATATCAGAGGCTCTCCCGGCGGCGCAGCATCGCGCACCTCGTTTACTCTGAAAATTTTGTTAGTCCGCGCGCTCGCTCGTCACGATCGAGTTACGAGGACGAGGGTGTGTACGCGCCAGGAAAGATAAAGTACGTAGGAAAATATGACGGGAACGCACACGCCGCTGCGATAGCTCTTCCCCGTCTCTCCTCCGCATGTGAGATTCGAGAATTTCGAAGCTCTGCAAAATATTCCCGCGCGAGATGAATGAATGGCTGGGATGGGCCTGCCGATGTCCGACCGGAGAGACGTGTAAAATTTTTCAAGCTGGATACGTCGCTAGAATCATTCTTTGCATAAGGTAGCCGATGCACGTTTCGTTTCGTCTCGTTTTCCTTTCAACACGCGACACGACTAAAAAATTGTAATTTACGGGTTACAGTTCATTTGTAAAATCTACGTGCTTAGTTCTTATCTGCAAAATCTGTTCTAAATTGAATTAAACCAATCTAAACAAATCATTCTACGAAGTTGAGGCAAGCCAATTTATCTCAATTACACAGAGCGCCTTTATTCATGTCTATTTAAAACCGTCCTCCGAGAATAGATAGTTTGTAGATGCATTTCGTGATACGAGGAAACATTTGAATACTTGAAGGAGCGTAGAGTGCAAATATATCCTTTAGAAAAACGATCGTTCCCGCGAGCTTTCATAAATGAACAAACGAGTTTTACGATTGCACCGTTCGATTCTTCTCTCTCGACGGAAATGATTTTATAGTCTGCAGATGGTATTACTTTCTACGTGCGTTTGTAAAACGCTCGGATAGAGGAGTGCGTCCTGTTTTATTTAAGCTATCCCATCGAAGGGGAAGAGCTATCGGCGATGAGAATGCTCGCACCTGACGGCAAATATGATAATATCGAGACGAGATCCCGCCTCGTCTTTCTTGCCGTCGCCAAATTGGCTATATATGACGTCGCCTTATATCTCATTTCCACGTCGTAATCTTTACGATGGTAGAGGCTCGCCTACGCGATTTCTACTGCCGATTTCGTTAGATTCTTTGGAGCATCTGCGCCTGCATGCAGGTCGTAAAGTATAGTCATTTTCCAGGCCAGTCGCTTTTCTTAGGGTGACTTCTCGCCTGCCGGTGACATGACTTCGACCATTTTCAAACGATGAATAATGATATTGCCAGGAGGATTGACATATGCAAATAGCCACTTTTCCTTGTATTAATTATATTGTTCGACAAAAAGTCACTTTTTTTTATCTCCGAAATGCCATAATCTACATACCTCAGATTTTTTTTTACGCTACTAATACGATGGGTATTAGTAGAATTTATGTAGCGCGTCAAGATTTTTAATAAATTGAGGTATAGTGGTAAATTTGGATTCATTTCATCCCAATTTAAAAAAAAAATATATATATACATATATATTAAGATTAAATGAAGATATTTGGTAAGAAACAGTTTCATTATACGTGCGCTATTTAATTTGAAACGACTTTGTAAAAAGTTAATGTGTGTTAATAGGTCTAATAAGAACATATTGCACA